CCCCCCGGGGGGATGGCCATGCTGCAATCCCTTCTCCTCCATTCTCCTCTCAGGATCCTGGGCACGCACGCACACACGCCCGGCGTGAGTTTCAAGTCACCGGGTCTGGGACACAAACCGCAGTCAACTACATGGGAGTCCAGCGACATAGCCATTACGCTAACTGCTGGTTCCCGGATTTGGTTACATTCTAACAACTGACCTCCATAAGAGACATTAAGTGATGTGAATAATCAGAATAAAAAACGGTGACCGAGGGCAAAAATATTTTCTGCATGAAGGCAACACCTGCATTTTTAAATTTCTTAAATAAAAGCACAAGGAAAGAATCGAGACGTGTTACAAAAGCAGATCATTTACTCTGAACTAAGTACTACCACACAGCGGGGAGTCTTCCTCGTGAGGGCCCGTACCTGTTTGCAAGCCAGGGTGATGGCAGCATTCGGATTCCGAATCTTGTGTCCTTCATCCAGGATCACGTAGTGCCAGTCGTACCTGCTGATGTCATCCTGCATCAGCCGGACGTAGGAGTAGGAGGTGATCAGGATCCCGTGGCAGTGAGCAATATCTCGGATTAGTTTCTCCTAAGATGATGGTAAGATGGTGAAGCCAGCTTTAAATAAGGAGTGAAATGAGATGACCACGACTTAAAATGACAACCCTTCCACAACCGAAAGCCCTTTACAGACATGTAGGCAAACGTACACACACAGCCCCGTCACACCGCGGCCACCGGACACGTCTCTCGTTACCCCGTAAGGTAGCACTGACCGGTGTGGCCACTACTTGAGAAAGGACCTCTCGGGAAAAAGGTGGGAAAAAGCTATAACGTGTAAACACTTAGACAATTCAAATTTTTCTAAAACATCTTTTGGGTCCATTCTTGTTAAACCTGAAACAGGCAGATGCATAAAAAATGAGTAATTGTTTTGAAACAAAAGGAAATGAGAGAAAAGCCAAGGAGGTAAGGAAGACAAATGTAAGGGCCCTATCAATGTATGGCACGACTTCCAGAACAGCGCATAAAAGCAATGACAGGAAAAGGCTGTGTGCCCCAGCAGAGACTTGAGTCTGCGAGCAAAGGCCCCTCAGGCGCAGGCGGAAACACGGAAGACAAGCCCTGCTGCCACTAGATGTCCAAATCCCACAGAGAGCCACCCCACAGGGCCGCCCTGCCATCAGGACAACACGGGAAAAGAAAATGTTCCTTTCTGAGGAAGAAGTCTCGTGCTTCATCAGTCATCTTTTCTTCAGGGCTAGAAATGTCAGAGAGCAAAGAAAACATCTTTACAAAACTCAAAGGGGGAAAGTGGCACTCGGAATTGCACGTGAACCCAGGCTGGCAGTCACGCTAGACAGGAAAAGTGAACGCAGGCTGGCTCGGACAGTCGGGATGGGACGCAGAGGCAAGCCACCAGGGACCAGCAGGAGACACAGCTCCCAAGAGACGGCGGTGCAGCGGGGAATGGAGGCTGCGCCCCAACAGACCAAGGAGAACCCCCGCCGAGCCTCCAGCCCGTCATACGGATGGGAAACTGGCCTGGAGACCCTGAGCACCAGGTCACACAGCTGTAGATTGCTCTCAGAGTCCCAGTGCAGAATGGCAGCCACTCCAAAGTCAGTGCCATGGAAGACAGCCTGCCACCACAAGAGAGTTTTTGTTTCTTTTTCTCTTTTCTTTTTTTTTTTTAAAGAAAGATTTTTGCTCACCAGAGAGACAGAGAGAGACAAAGCAAGAAATCACCCCCTCGCAAGGGATGCCGGTGCCACCATCCCTTCTCCTTCGCTCGCCTCTAGGGATCTTGGGCATGCATGCACGTACGGCATGAATTTCAAGTCACCGGGTCAGGGACATGAACTGCGCTCGGCCAGGTGGAATTCCAGCAACGTAACCTTTATGCTATCCACTTGTCCCCAGAAGAGAACAATTGAAAAAGGGAAAACTGTGTGTCATATCACACTTAAAATAATCACTACAATTAAGTCTAAGTACTGAACAGTTTTAAATATGAATGAAATTGCCAAGGACGGACCTACAACACACAAAGTCCTGCGTTGTAAAGTGTTACTGCAATTCCTGTTTGGTTTGAAAAAACCTGGAGACGACAGGAAAACCAAAGCGGACTAGAAACCCCATTCTGTCCCAGGGTGGATGGGTCACAGGCAGCGGGTACTTTGTAATTCTTAGCCATAAGAGAAAAATGAGTTAAAGTACATTTGTCAAAAATGTAAGCCTGTTACTGATTAATAGTTGCCACTTTCAGATAAACACTAGGAAAGGAACAGGATGTAGATGGAAAATACTAGAGTCAGAAAACAGCAAATGGAGAATAAAATGTTGATAAATAGGCAGTAAGACCAGTTTCCAACTAAACACATCAAGGGTCACCCTCTAGCGACAAGCCCGCCTTGTGTTTTAAGAGACCCAGGCCAGGATTTAAAGCGGAAATACGGGAAATAGCAAGACACACCAAAGAAACACAAACCAAAGAAGGGTAGGACTGGCAGCATAAACATCAGACGAAAAGAAATGGGCAAGAGGGCCGTGCCGTCGCTGAGAGGGGACAGGTGCTGAGAGAGAAGAGCAGTGAGCCTTGACCTGCCGACCAGCACCACAGTGAGCTCCACGGCAAAGCTCTGAGAGCCGCCCAGCAAGGAGGACGCCCCAGCCCCGCTCAGAGAGACAGCGAGACTAAAGGAAACAAAGCTTAACGTTCCACACGACAGCTGGAGCGTCCCGTCAGCCAGCTCCATTTAACAGCTAGCCGCAGAGCAGAGCGTTAGGCCAGCCGGGAGGCGCGTCCTTAACACCCTCTACTGGGAAAGGCTGAGACCAAAACGCCATCGAATCAGCCTGATAAAGAGAAGTGAGAGGATAGGATAAAGCACACAGAGAGCCTTAAAGAAAACCCTGATAGAACTGATTTGAAGCAAGCCGACGCCTGAACAGTTGGCCCAAAGAACACTCAAACGTGGAGCGCCAGTTACGTCAAAGGAAGGTGATCGCAGGGGTACAGAACACAAAAGCACGAACTCGCCACGCACGCCAAAACCCCGAGCGTCTTCACGGGAGAGTCGAAGAAGTCAATTCCAAAATGAACCAAAGAAAACTCAGACTGACTGATCAATTCTGAAGAAAAAGATGCTATGCTCTTTCCCCCAAAGTCTCTCAGATCCAAAGGGTTTCATGAGTGAGGTCGGACTACAACCGGGTATTTAAATGGTTCCAAACACAGAGAAAGACGGAGTGCATTCCAAATGGCTTATGAGGCCACCAAAACTGACGCACACCCTCAAACTAGAGCCCCATGACTCACCAACAGCACCAAGCCTCTGACTGAGCTAACACGGCGTGGCACCACGGACAGACGGCCACGGAGCAGTGGGAAGCTGGGTAACAGAGTCCATGCCGTCACAATCTCATACAAATTTGGTAAAATTCAGCACCTCCCAAAAATGATGCTTTTTATCAGTATCACTTTAAACTCTTTAAATTTTTTTAAGTTTCTTGCCATAGGGTGCATGCCCTCGTCAGACAGACACAGAAAGACAGTGAGAAAGAAAGTGAGAGATCACCCCCCAGCAGGGATAGGCGCGTCACAATCTCTATCCCTCTATTCTCCTCCTGGGATTTTGGGCATGCCCGCATGCATGCCCAGCATGAGTTTCAAGCCACCGGGTCTGGGACTTGAACCACAGTCAGCCATGTGGGAGTTCAGCACTTTACCCACCAAGTCACTTGCTGGGCCCAGGTTATTACTTATTCAACAGTGTAACAGATTATAATGGGGTTAAGAAAATTCTAAAGACACAAATACAGAGGAGGAAATGATCTTTTCTCATGTCACCACACACTCCACATTCAAGGAGTCGACAGAACTGCTCTGAATAACCAAGAATGCCCAGGGTGTATTAGAGGTGTGACAGGTGGAGCCACGGTACCGACACCACACTCTTCTGCCATTGTCCACACCTGTGCAACACCACACTGAAGGTCACACCTGATTTAACCATGTCCTGACATCTGCCCTTTGTGGTCATGCAGCAATGCAAACTCAGGGTGCACAGCCTTCCAAGCAATGTAGGAGTTCTCAAGTTCCCTGCAACCCATGGCCATCTGGCTACACTGCTATTCCCTCGTCCCCAGGCCCCCTTGACTGCTGGTGCCAGTGAAGAAAAGTCTGTTGTCAAAGCAGCACAGCTCGCACCCCTTCAGCACCTTGCCTGGCCAGAGCTCATGGCTACAGGTTACCCCATCTTGGTCATTTTTCTATCCTGAACAGGCAGTTGCGTCGACTCTGTGCCTTTGTTCCCTTCCAGGACGTCAGGGGCTGCCAGAAGCCCCAACAGCAGGTGGGCAAGAGCCAACGGCAAAGGGACCACTCCAGCCAGGGGCTGTATGCACAGGCAGAAAGGGAGAGAAGGTCAACCACAGCCATGCGGGGCTAGAGAGAGCACCAAAGCCACTCTGCCATTCCCGTTATAAAATGCCCTCTGTATTCCAGCCAAGCCCCACAAACGCGGTGCCCTCGCTCACAGACGCCGAAGCCCTCGTGAGACGCACAGAATCACCACGGTCATCCCAGGGGCCTCCAAGGAGTGCAGCGTCAGAGGGGGCTGGGCATCACCTGGCGCAGCTGGGAGCTTTACCGGAGATGAGAGATGCCAGGCCTCGCAGACGCTCACTACTGGGACAGCGGGTGGCATTTTTGCTTCTTTAATAATTGAGGCTGATTTGGAAAATTCAGAGATGGTAGATAGAGACTGACAAAATTTCTACTGTGTTCAGGAAAATGTTTAATGATTATTCATAATTAAGAAGACGCTTTTATAAAAGGACAAGAAATGACTCAAAACATCCTCACTGGGAACCAGCAGTTAGCGCAATGGCTATGTTGCTGGACTCCCACGTAGTTGACCTCAGTTCGCGTCCCGGACCCGGTGGCTTAAACTCACGCCAGGCGCGTGTGCATGCATACCCAAGATCCCGAGAGGAGAATGGAGGAGAAGGGATTGCGACATGACCATCCCCCCTGGGGGGTGATTTCTCGCTTTCTGTCTCTCTCTGTCTGGCCAGTGCACGCGCCCTATAGCAAAAACCTCTCCAAAAAAAAAAGAGAAAAACAAAAACAAAACATCCTCGCTGAGAATGTATCTCCACCTAGCCACTGCGCCAAAACTGTCTCAGACTGCTTTCACCTGATTCAGTCTCAGAATTCTAGAACTGCCTCGACTGGAGTTTCAATAATGGTGAATTGTTGAATATTATGGACGTCTCCATCCAAACACTTAAGACAAATCATCTCGGGCGGTTTCAAATTAAAAGCTTGTAAAATATGTAACCTCTCCTAGTTTTTGCAATTAATAGGGTGCATCTGCAATTAGCCTGACTTACTGAATGCCGTGCTGCTGTCATTGAAAGATGCCTGTGAAAGTGCTGCTGTTATTACGGGGGCTCAGGAGACCAATCCCTCCTACAGGGCAAACAGTGGCCTGGTAGAAAACAACAGCCATAAATCACACTGTCAGGCGGCGGGGAGGCTGCAGGGAGGCGGCGGGAGCTCCGGCTCATGAAGGCCACTCACGGTAAACACAGCACAGCCGCTTCCCAGGCAGGATTTACTGCACCTGTAATTAATTAAAATTTCCTTCAAGCTAAATCTTTAATAAACAAGGATTTGTGCTGACAATGGAGAAAAAAGGGCTCTGGCAACACCATTTTACACGACACCTCACAGAGCAGGCCTAGCATCTATCATTTCTGCATCAGGTGGACCCGACCTGAAGCCAAAGCCACAGCTTCACTCTGCGTTATAATGTGTGCACTTGGAGTGGGTCTGAAACCGCCCGGACGCTTGAGGGACCGTTGGCCCTTCTCTATTCTTACTTGTTTTCATTTGATTCCCCTCCAGCTTTTTAAAAAGTTCAGTCTTTTTGTCCTAGTGTTTCAGAAATGGGCCTTTTCAAAGATCACATGATGGTAATTTCATCGGATGCCCACGATGTTGTGTGATGTGCTTTCTAACCAGACGCTGCACTTCCAAGAAGAATTTTTACATTCTATTTCATTGTTCCCACTTGGGGCCAAAGACATCTGGACATCAGAAGGAAGGGTGTGGACACTGATTGATCGTGGGCACTTTTGATGAAGCGGGTGAGAGCCTTCCGTGTAGGGTATCCCCTGAATAAACCAGCAATGCCTCCTTCAGCACCTCTTCTTCCCTCAGCTGCCGAATCAGGGCCCTACGGTACTGTTTCCAACAAGGAAAGAACTTCCTGAGTAAACGTCACATACTGAGCTCTTCCTGCACACACATTACCCAGTAATTCCTTACAAAATTACCCCAAATCCCCACTTCACAAGAGGTCACACCTGGCTCAGAGAAGCTGAGTGTATCTCCCCAGGTCATAGTTACAAAACGGCAGATGGAAGACCCACACCCTGGTCTGAAAACTGCAAAACCTATGCCTGTAGGTCTTCAGGTCATCATGGCCTTTTCACTCTCGTACCTCTAAATAGCATGAATTTATCAAAATAAGATAAAATTCTTTGGATCATATAAAGTAGTCCACAGAATTACTAGGTCCTACATGGCAGAAAGGTGGGCAAGAGGTACAGTGAACTGTTTCAGAATAGAAGCGATTTCTCATTACACAACTGACAAATTGAAAACAGGGTCCTTAATCATTAAATAAACTTCACAGCACAGTGCTAAGGATGCCACCTCCCACTGTGAGTTGTGGAATAAGTACAAGACTGCCTTCTTCTGTTACCTTTTCAAGTATGAGTGTATTTTCTTTCTTTCACTAGCCAGAGACAGGTACCCCCGACATGGCCTCACGCTGTGGACCCACGCCTGCCACAGTAAGCCCTGGTCACAGGTAAGGCACACCCTGCTGTCCAAGGAAGCCCCAGGGCATGAGCCCAGGCCCTTTCTCATCTGTGTCCTGTTGTGCCACTACTGTGCCACCACCTGGTCGCTACCTTTTCACCTTATTTCCTGTCGGTAAAAATTGGCGGGCTTGGGAACAAGCAGTTAGCGTAATGGTTATGTTGCTGGACTCCCACGTAGTCGACTGTGGTTCACGTCCTGGACCCGGTGGCTTAAACTCACGCCGGCCCCATATGCGTGCATGCCCGAGATCCCAAGAGGAGAATTGAGGAGAAGGGATTGCAGCGTGGTCATCCCCCCTGGGTGGTGATTTCTCGCTTTCTGTCTCTGTCTGTCTCTGTCTGTCTGGCAAGCACACGTGCCCTATAGCAAAAACCTCTCAAAAAAAAAAAAAAATTAGACACACCCATGGGAGACCAGGCAAGCTCACCCAGAAAAAAAGAAATCTCAGCTAATAAAGAAGAAAAGGAAGTCAAGGACTAGATGCTGCCTGGATTAACAGAATATTTGAAATATGAATAAGAAATGTAGAGTCTAGGGGCCAGGAGATGGCGTAATGGCTATGTCACTGGACTCCCATGTAGTCGACAGCAGTTCAAGTCCTGAACCAGGCAGCGTAAAATTCACCCCAGGCATGTGTGCGTGCATGCCCAAAATCCTGAGAGGAGAATGGAGAAGGGACTGTGGCATAGCATCCCCCCTAGGGGGATGATTTCTCGCTTTTTGTCTCTCTGTCTCTCCAGAGAACATACATGCCCAATAGCAAAAATCTCTAGAAAGAAAGAAAGAAAGAAAGAAAGAAAGAAAGAAAGAAAGAAAGAAAGAAATGTAGAGTCTATTACAACTGAACACACCTCTGTAAGCACCAGGTGCTTGTGGGTGGTGACAAAGGTCTGCACACACAGACCAGACAGGGAGGAGTGGAGAGATCAAAGGCCACGCCAGTGTTTGACCCAGCAACCACAGCTGTGACTTTAGAAATGTCACTTGGTGAGGCCCATGCAAAGAACTATTAACACATTCTCAGTATGTAACCACCACAAATAAATTGATACTAACATAACAACAAATCATAAACCAATTGTGTTTCTAAAAATGAGGTCTGAAAGATTAAAACATGCACCTTTTCCATCTTTTACTAACAGCTAACACCTTTAGAGATCTGAGGTATGTTACATGGAAAAGCCAATAGTAGAATGGGAGTGAAGAGTCAAAAGTAAAAACACAAAGAAACTGTAATTCTGCTTATCCTCCAAAGTCAGGTAAGGAACGTCAAGGTAAAACCTAGGTAAGCTGTGGAGAGCTGAAAACAGTTATAAATGTTCACACACATGCCCATGTCTACATGGGCAAGACAATCTCAGAAGGAGAAGCCATGGGAACCTTTGTAACTGAAATTTCTACTCGGTTTTGCTGTCCACAGGGGTTAAGAAAGCAAGTTACAGCAACAAGTTCACAGTCAATTCTATTTCATCAGTAAGTCCATGTATTCGGTTTGCTGCAAAGGTAGTTCTTCAGGTTGTAAGGAGAGGACTGCAGGAAGTCCCAATTCCAGGTGACGGCGCACGTGCAATTCACTGATCCCAGGGAAAATTGAAGGATAAAGAGGAACGAGTGAAAAATCTCCTTCACAAGACAAACATCAACTAATGAACCCTGACACAGGATTTTGCAACATAAACATTAAGCGATGTTAACAGATAACATTGGGTCATCAGGAAAGTCATGACATATTTTTCTATGCAAAAGTCCATCATGACTTTTCTGATAATCCAACAGAAATGGAAAAACCAGCAATGTTTCACAGGTGATGACAGGTAGTTGCAATAATTTACATTTTGAGTAGAATAATTATGTAAATGTGTTTTTTTCCTACTCCTAAAAATCACCTTTTTAAAAACCACAGCATTTATCACATCTCATTATTTATCTTAATCAGTTTTCCTTCCATTTTTCATTTGAAATTTTGGGAAAGGCCAGCTGGTTTTCACAGTAACAGCTCTTAATAGTGTAAGCAAGATTCCTCCTCACCTTGCTAGAGAGGTACCGAACCCCAGATATTCCTGGTTCACTTCTATCGAAAGTTCTGCTTACCCACAAACACGAGCACAACAGGAATCTGGAGAAAGGGGGGACTGAAAAATTCCAGAGACGCCAGAGCCCAGGGACGCCCGCATGCCCGTGTCAGCGAGGCAGACCCTCACGGCTCCTGCACCTCACTCTGCTCTCCGGGGACGCAGAGAGCTTACACAGGAGACGCAGGGAAGGCAGAGCGAACAACCTCAACAAATGGCCACTTCTTATCAATACTGTAACCTGCAAACCCACAGAGAGCTGTGATCGTGACCTATTTAGCAAATCCTTATGGGGACTGAGTCAGACACAGCCCTGCTGTACAGAGCTCACAGTCGAGACGGTGAGGCAGATGAGGGGAAAAGGCGCGACGCGACCTAACGCACGCTTCCCGCAGGAGCGGACAGAGCTTCCCTTCTGATCACGTGGCTGTCGACAAAACTGCAAATAAGTGAAGACATACGATTTTCACCACGTGATGATCAAGGATTTAAAGAACAAGAACAAAAAATCAAAAACAAACAAAAAAAAGAAACAAACCCTTAATTAAAAAGTAAAAACAGCTTTTTCCAAATTCCAAAAATGGCAAGTTACCTCTTTCATTCATCAAAATATGTTTTAAAAGCATACTAACAAATGTATTTACTAAATAAGTTTTATTACATGTGTATTCGTTTCCTAAAGCTGTTTCAAGCCCTATCGTCACAGCCCACAGTTACCGGTTACAAAGGCGCTGATTCATGAGCCCAGCCCCAGCAGGTGGGCGGAGCCTGGTGTGTGCCCAGGTGCATTTCGCAGGACACGTCACACCACCACAGACTGTGGGTGAGGACACCTGTATTCGTAACTGTTTTCTAGAGTAAATCAATAATCACAAAATAACTTTAAATGCATGAAAAAAACACAAGAATATGCATCTGAGAAAACACCACCAGACTATGGGTGAGGACACCTGTATTCGTAACTGTAGAGTAAATCAATAATCACAAAATAACTTTAAATGCATGAAAAAAACACAAGAATATGCATCTGAGAAATACACAGATTAAAGAAAAAGCAAATATGTCAAGTGGAGGGCCTTTAAACAAAACAAGCAGAAAGGTACCTTAGTGTCATAATGTTACCTTTTTGTGGGTATAGGAGCCGGTTTCGTGCAGAATTGCCACTCTGAATGGAGGCCACCACGTGTGGAATTCTCTCACCCACTGATGCATCACCGTTGTGGGGCAGACGATGACAGCCGGACCCAACCCCTCGAACCTGCACTCCAATGTCCAAGAAAAAACAACTGTGAAGGGCAGCTCCGAGTGAGCCACTGCCAACAGACAAAGGGAACCTTCCCAGGGCACACAAGAAAACCGGCTCTGGAAACGGTGTTGACAGTGTCTCCAGAGAAAAGGCTATTAAGGTTTCTACACTTCCATTCGCCAATTAGTGTACTGAAATACATTAAAAGATAACTTCCATACTTCCACAGAAAGAGAAAATCAAACAGGTACTATATAAGAGAAACGCTTCCCTCTATTCAGGGTTAATGAAGTTATTACACAGTGTACCTTAACCTAAGTGAACCTAACAGTATTTTAAACCTGTTTGAAGCTTTCAAGTCTACCAAGAGTTTTCAATACAAGGAATGTCAACCAACAACCTTCCTAGCCCAGGGAAGTAGGCGGGACAGAATACTCCGAGTTCAGGGCTCAGGAGCTGCCGTGCCCAAGCAGCGCCGTTACCGTGGAGATGGAGGGACACCCAGCGGTCGTCCCCACTACAGCAGCCTGCCCTCAGAACAGCACAGGTGAAAACCGGGCAGGAGCAGGGCAGTGACGGTCTCTCCGGGGAAGCCCACACGGGTGGGGTGCACACTGGCACTGTGGTCGTGCAAAGCTGAGCAGCACATGGCAAGAGCCTCGGCAGCAGCCATGCCTGGATACAGTGCCCACGCCAGCACTGGTGCACCAGGGTGCACGCTGCAGCAGCGTCCACAGGAAAGGACGTGCTGGATGAAGCGTCTCATTTAGCACAGCCCCGTCAGGGTTAGGAGCACCGTGCGGGGCAGAGCCCAGGTCCGCACACTGACTACATGAACTCGGGGCTCATTATTTAACCTCTCTGTTTCTCATCTGCAAATGGAAACAAGAACAGTACTGCTCTTACAAGGCTACTGTGAAGATTAAATCAGTTAACAACTGCCAAGTGCTTAGAACAGGGCCATGTGGTAAATACTGAAAAAGATTGTTAAATAAGATGGAAGATCATATAACCATTAAAACTGTTTTCGTAGAATATTAAAATGCTTAGCTTTTTGTTTTTAGTCTTTGCTATAGGGCACATGTGCTTGCCAGAAATGGAGTGGGAGGAAGAGTGAGAAATCACCCCCCTCCCAGGGGTGGACAGCCACACTACAATCCCCTTTCTCTGGTCTCCTGAGATCTTGGATACGCGCACGCGCCAGAGTGATTTTCAAGCAACCAGGTCCAGGACTTGAGCTACAAAGCCAGGCATATGGGATCCATGCCACGTGCTGGCCCTATCATAAATTTAGAAAATGATGATAATAATTTATGGAATCAATCAGATTCCCTCCCTGTGTAGAATATTCCCACGGGCCCAAGGCCGGCCCTCACTCACCTGGAGGAGTCTCCGTACTTTACAAACCATCACCCCTCTTCTGCTCAGCAAGAATGCGGGAGTGAAGTGCACGCACTCACCTCCACTGAGCACAAGTGCCCAGCCTACTTGCTAGCTCCCCCAGTTCAGAGCTGTCAATACGGTGATGACACCAAAGCTAGTGGTTCAATGACAGCACATCCTGCCCACCCTCCTCCCCCCACCCCGTCCCATGTTCCAGCTCCATGGACTGAAGTGCCACCCACCCACTCTCAAGAGGCCCACGTCAGAAACTCGGGTCTCACTCTTGATCACGCCCCCCCGTTCACCATCGAGCCACCTACCTCCTGTCTTACTCACTTTCCCGCAGGACCTGCTAAAAAGCAACACCTGAATGCCTCATCTCCTCCCTTCGAAGCCTTTGACGGCTGCCACTGCTCTTGGAAAGGAGTCTGAACACCTGCCCCAGTCCCTGACGCCATGAGGAGCTGACCTCTGCTCACCTCTCTGGCCTTGCTGCCAGCCAACACCTGTTCTTTGGTCAGCACTCCAATAGCCAGCACTGTCTTCACTTCCGACAATGGTGTACTCTCCTCTCCCCTCCGGCCTGCTTCTTGTCCCTCTTACCCCCCCCCCCCCACATACACACCCTTCAGATCTCAGGGGCCTCTACAGAGTCCCTCCTCCCCTCTCTCTCCAAACACGCTAAGGACCCTTCCGTGCACCGCTGCTAGTTAGGGCCCTACCAACACTGTCATGGCACACACTGTCTCTAACCTGTTAGATCCTTCCTAAGTCTTTTTTTTTTTTTTTAAAGAGACATTTTTTACTCTATTTCGCAGGATAAACAGAGAAACAGAAAGTGAGAAATCATTCCTAGGAAATACCCATGCAGCCGCAATCCCTTCTACTCCACTCTCCTCTTGGGGCTTTGGGCACACACATGTGCACGTGCCCAGTGTGAGTTTTAAGCCATCAGGTCTGAGACTCAAACCACAGTCAACTACATGGGAGTCCAACAACATAACCATTACGCACCTGCTGGTTTCAGATCCTTCCTAAGTTTTTAAGAGCAGGGATAACTTTTTCTTCAAAATTGACTAATTCAGAACAGGTAATTAATAAATTCACTTTATTTCTTTAAAAAATTTGTAAAAGGTTCAAAAAATATACTGTGAAAACTAATTTGCAGTCCAATAGAAAAACAGTGGGATTCTCACCACGTCTTCAAAGTTTTTAAGAGCAGGGATAACTTTTTCTTCAAAATTGACTAATTCAGAACAGGTAATTAATAAATTCACTTTATTTCTTTAAGTTTACCCTTACCCTCCAGCACAACAAACAGCCTCTCCACGTCTCAACTCTCCTGCCTGCAGCGGTCACTGTCCCTGCCCTCGGCTTGACAGCAAGGGCTGGACTACAAAAAGCCAGAGCTACGGCAGGCTGACACCTCCTGGAGAATTTCCAGGCTGAGCTCTTCACCACGGGCAGGACTTGTCCCAGTGCCCGTCAAGCTCCCAGAGGAGAGCAGACCTGCCTCGGCCCTTTCCATAACATGGCAGCATTCCTTTCTAAAAGGGTTAAAAGCAGCAGCTTCTCACTCCTCTGCGGGGAATAGAGAGCCTTCAACAGTGGGCACTTTGCAGGGATCAGCAACAACCAATCAAAGCTGTCTAAACGTTTAAAAACAAACTCACATTCAAATAAGCATCAATACCAACATGTGCTTTTTCAGGTCATGCTGCATTTTCTTCTCTTTCATAACATGGTTTCTGCAAACCACTCGTGCTCCACCATCCAAGGCTCCCGTCCCCTTCTGGATGGACATTTCTATGTCGCGTTATGAAGCCCTTTAGTCTCGACCATTCTCCCTCTACTGGAAGCCTACAGAAGATCTTGGATAGCTCCTGGACCACAGGAGGGGCAATGGAATCCATTAACTGTCACATCCACCAAGCCGCCCTTGCCCCCGTCCTCAACACCAGCACGGTGAGCCCAGAAATGGCTAAATGTACTGCAGTGATCAGCCTCAATGACCAGACTGTAATTCTTTTCATCTTCCTTATTGATCACCTAATGAATTTAGGATAAGCTGAGAGCTGCATGGTCAAATATTTGAACTTACAGGGGAAACCTGCTAGTCAACCTAGAACTAACCAGAAACTATGAAGTAAAATCTTTACCTTGAAAGAATACTAACTTTTTCAGGATAGTTATTCTTTTTTTAAAAAAAAGTTTATTCCCCCATGAGTGACAGAGAGAGGGAGGGAGCAAGGGAAAGGGAGACACACCCCATGAGTCCTGACACCATGGCCTGCTCCAGCCCCCAGGGGCCCTGGATGGAGGGCACACGTGCGCTGGGTGCTCCCTCGTGGGGCTCTCTCCCACTGCGTTTCCCACTGGCCCCGTCTAGCCCCCAGGATACTTACTCTTAATTAAAAATGAACTAAATGACAGTCAAGACTTCAAAGCGTCAACCAAAGTTTGAAAATTAAGGGACCAACAGGTGGCGTAGTGGTTAAGAGCACTGGACTCCCACATGGCCAACCGCCACGGTTCGAGTCCTAGACCTGGAGGCTTGCTTTCTCACTTCCCCACTCTCTCTCTCTCACCTGTCCCTTTCTGTTCAAATTAAAAAATAAATAAATAAATAAATAAAGTTAAATAAAATAATTCTAAAAAAAGGAAAATTACTTACTTCCTCTCCATTGTAAAATCAGGGGGCTAACCAGCACCATGAGAATATGAATAGAATGGGAAAAGGAGG